CATGCATTCTTTATATATATTCTTATGTTATATTCATAATTCAATAATATCAATTATTACCAAATTGTATCCTAAATATTTTATTGTCCAAGCTACGGTTTGTGCGCACTTGGGTGATAGGCCCAATAGATAAGCCCATGGGGGTTACAACTTAAAGTCAATTGACAATAAGAGGAGAGAGCAGAAACTTATATGTTGGACACTTTGTTGTTTCTTTTCCAATGTGGCAGAAACCCTCCCAACACCCTCTCTCAAGTGCAACTATTGGGCCCCGCATTTTTGCCAGTTGCGCTTGACACTTTTTTCCCGTGTCTTGTGGCTGGCGAGCCTAATAGACCAGGAGTTCAAACCCTCACCAAACCTGGTCCGACACCATGATAGAAAATAATAGGAGAAAAAAAATATTTTGTTTTAAATTGTCTTGTAAATACAAAGATTTAGCTCTCTTTATATAGAAAGAGGATAAAGCAAATGAGGAAATTTATATTCCTACTAAAACAAAAATTAAGCAAATTAGAAAAGATATTAAAAAGAATTAAGCAAAGGGATTTAGTTTCCTTCTTTGATCCGACTTCTTTCTTCTATCTTCAACACTAGCTCTTTTCAATTCTTTTGACCGTGCGCCATAGCCAGTCTTAATCATTAATAGTCGACCGTCACAAATCATGACCTCGTCGTCACTTATTCCTCTTTCTCTCCAAAAAAATATGAACGTGCCTAATAGTTGTCATCCCTATCTCTCTTTTTTTCTCAAATTTTTTTTTTGAGCGTGCCTAACAACCACCGACCCTTATATATCCTTCTCCATCCAAAAATATTTATGTATGTTATCGAAGAATTGATCAAAATATCATTTGTTTATATTTTTTCTAGTACAGCTCAATAGAGTGGAAAGCGATTGTTAAACGAAGAAAAATATTATTATTATTATTATTATTTACTTGGAAATAAAATTTTATTATTATTGTGGAGGGAGAATTGGAATTAAAATATTATTATTATCTACTTTCTTTATACTTTTGTTAACATAATTTTTATTCTATTCAATTCTAACTAGAATTCTCCATATATTCTTTATGTATATACTGATGTAATCCTCATATTTTAGTAAGACCAATTACTATAAAATTGTATCACTCTTGTCTATCTCCTACACATTTTGTTTCAATATAAAAACCTTGCATGAGCCTACAACCACAAGTTTGAGCTTTTGACTGAGTTGATTCTTTGAAATGGTATCCGAACATTGATGATTAGCAAGAGGTCACATGTTTGAAATTCTCTGTCACCCATTTAAAAAAATTGGTTTAAGTGAAAACAATTTTTGTTATTTGGTTAGAGGAGAAAAGAAAAGTGAAAATAAAAAAATGAAAAGACAAAATGTATTAAGAATAGGAAAAACCAAATCCTCCCTTTTTAGTGAGATAAAAGAGCTATGGAAACTCATATTTTTTCTTTTTTCTTTCTTAAACCGAATAGAGTGTTCATGTGCGAAAATAGAAGTTTAAACCTTTAATTGAGGTTGTTCATTAACATACCACATACTCCCTTTGTTCTTAAAAAACACTTCTCCTTTCAAAATTTTCACTTCCAATAAAACACTTTCCCTTCTATTAAAAATCTCCAAAATACCCCCCTACCCTAATTTATTCCCCCTTGGTTATTTCACCTGTTTCATTACACCTGTCGACCTTTCACTCAACCTATCTCTTCAGATCTTTCCATGCCCTCCTTTCGCTTGCTAAGTGATAGCAATGAGGAACGTTGTCGCCCCAAGAGAAAAATTTCCGATGGTTCCTTTAGCCCCGATGAGAATGTGTCAATCCGTTCCTTTAATGGCGATGAAGTACTCCTTCCATTGGATTCATCGGACACCGATCCATCTTGGAACTACCGGAAAAAGTACCTTGGAGGTGATTTTCTACCGGATGGAGTAGAGTGGAGTTCAGACCTGGAACAGGAAAAAGGTGATTCTGAAGAAGAATCAATTACTACTGAAGAGATTAGAGAAATGAACTCTGATACGGAGATATTCTTTGCTGAACTGGTAGAAAGTCCCTCCAAACTCCAACGATTTCGCCAGAGTAATGTCCTTTAATCTTCTGGACTTCATATATTCTGTATATGTCATTGCATGTTGTGTTTTTCTTGATTTTGTTGGCAAAATAATGATGCAAACCTATTAATTGCCAAAATATAGGAGAATTGCTAAAATGTAATGTCACCCCATTTAGTGTGGAGACTTACAATGGTCAATGAAGGTGATGTATTTGGTCAGGCTTGTAGAGTTTATGACCAGTTTGGTCAGGCTTGTTGGGTTTTTGCATGTTATGCTCCTATGTTTTCTGAGGCAATTAGACCCTCCTTGACTGTGTAATTTCTAAGAGTTCCTAAATAGGTTCCTGTGATGGAACCAAAAATCTGGTTCTCCTAGGTTCTCTGAGGCAGTGAGATCCTAGTACTTGAGTGCCTGATCTGTCCAAGTTCCTAATTCTGTGGCTATGATGGAACAGGAATGTTATGCTCCTATGTTTTCTGAGTCATTTACACTCTCCTTGTTGAGTGTCTAATTCCTAAGAGTCCCTAAATAAGTGCCTGTGATTAGACCCGGCAAAACAGAACCAGAACCGATTACCCGAACCAAAATATCCATAACCGAAACCGGAATGACCCGAAAAATGAAGATCCGATCTATAACCGAAAACCCGAAATGATCCGAATCGAACCGAAACCGAACTAAATAATTCATATCCGACTTAAATCCAAAACCGATTAGATCCGAACCGATTAAACCTGAAACCGATTAGATCCGAAACCGATAATATCCGAACTGATTAAACCCGAAACCGATTAGATCCGAACCCGATAATACCCGAAACCGATTAGATCTGAAACCGATAATATCTGAACCCGATAATATCTAAACCCGATTAGAACTAAAATCGATAAATTCAGAACTATGTTTGCCTTTCAATAAGCATATTATATTTTTAAATTTTTTACTTTTATTTTATCATTTGAACTAATTACATTACTTGCTCATTCCCTCATAAAATACATTATCTTCTTGAAAAAAGTACAAAATTTTATGCCTTAAATTTATTATATGTAGAAAGTAAAGATAAGTTATACATATAAATGATAACACACAAACAAGTAAAATTTCTGTAATTTTTAAATAGTGAAGTGTGATATTTTTTTTTTTAGAACGAAAGGAATATATGATGAATTGTATGGGATAACTAGATTTTATCCTAATTTCATCTCATTACAATAAATTTTATTTTTCCATCATCTCCGATGGAGCCAAAATTTCACCATTTTTGGCTTTGGGGTGTGATGGAATAAATCAAAATGGATCTCTAAACTGTCTGCGCTTCTTTAATTAATAAAGTAGCAGTTAGTCAAGCAATGCAACTTTCGATGTTGAGATGGGGGTCTCTTTGGAAACAACCTCACTACTTTCGAGTAGGGGTAAGGTCTGCGTACACACACCCTCCCAGACCCTACTCTTGTGGGATTTAACTGAGTTGTTGTTGTTGTTGTACAATAAATATTATTGATTTGAGAGTTAATTTGATTAGTTTCAAACCAATTCACTCAATATTAGTTAATAAAATTAGATGCTAGTGTTAGCATTTTGAAAAGATTCTCTAGCGGCAGCCTTTACTCTTATCATTTTCAAATTTGATCTACACCATTATATTTAGGTGTAAAATTAATTATATTTGACTCTATTAAATTTAATTTTCTCTATTTTCAACCAAATATACTCAACAGTTTACAAATTTTGCACTCAGTTGAATAAAATTCACTTAATTTCACCCAATTTTACTCAATTTTTACCAAATTGTATTCAAATGGAACATAAGACTATTTGAATTTATCTTTTATCCTTTCATTTATATACATAAGTATATTAGTAGATGTGAGAAAGATTTGATATTTCAAAACAAAATTTTAAAATCAATTTAATTATATTAAATTTATATCATAATTAAATATATATGTTTTCATAATTTGTAGTCCAAATTTGTAAAATATGACTAAAAAGTCAAAAAGGGAAAATTATTTAGGGTAGAGATAATATAACTAGAAAAAAATATAAAATAATATGAGGTATTGAATTGATGATAGATTTGATAAATGTGATAAAATATAAAAAGAAACACAGATAGTTAAATTTTAATTAGAAAATAATATATATCCAAAATATATTTGATCCGAAACCGAAATATATCCGAACCAAACTAGACCCGAAACCGAAATATATCCGAATCAAATTGTATCCGAACCGATTTATAACCGAACCGTATCTGAATCGACTTGAAACTGAACCAAACTGAAAAATGTATAGAACCGAAATCAAATCCGAACCAAAATTTAACCGATGCGAACCAAACCGAACCGAACCAATTATAACATATAACCGAAAAATATCTGAACCGAAAAAATCCAACCCGAAACCGATCCGGTTGATCCGATTGCCACCTCTACCTGTGATGGAACCAAAAATCTGGTTCTCCTAGGTTCTCTGAGGCAGTGAGACCCTAGTACTTGAGTGCCTGATCTATCCAAGTCCCTAATTCTGTGGCTATGATGGAACAAGAATGTTATGCTCTTATGTTTTCTGAGCCATTTAGACTCTCCTTGTTGAGTGTCTAATTCCTCAGAGTCCTTAAATAAGTGTATGTGATGGAACCAAATATATGGTTCTCCGAGGTTCCTTGAGGCAGTGAGACCCTAGTACTTGAGTGCCTGATCTGTCCAAGTCTCTACTGTGGCTATGATGGAACATGAATGTTATGAGCCAGTGAACTTCCAAAAAACCAGTTTGTATACTGCATATATATATACACACACACAAGGAATACAACATTCCTAAACTTGCATTACATCATTGACAAAAATGCACATCTGGATTACATTTGCACCAAAAAATAAAAAGATGTGCAATTGTACACCAGATGTACATTCAAAATACATAGCCTAGAGTTCATGACTTCTTTGTCCCTTAATTGTTGATTTCTGAGAGGTTCACAGCAGCTTCATAGACTTCATTACTCACACCTATGTTGTTTGGCTAACTTTTCTTTCCCAATATGAGGTATTTTGAAGTCATTACCTCCTTTATGCTTAGGACCTCACCCATGACCAGCTGATATGTTAAGAACACATGATTTAGTTTTTGTGGGGTGAGTTGGTCAAAAGCTCTTGCAACATTACCAATCAAGTCTCCCATTGTCCTGGGTGCAGTTTTGTCATGAATTGCATCAATAGCCCTAAAGAAACCCAGGTCAATCACATTCAAATCTGGACTGTTTGGAGGTTGAAACTGTAATTGAATATCCCAATCACCTTCCTTTGCAGCACTCACAAATTCTGGGTCATTAACATCAACATGTGGTTTAGCATTGTCCTATTGAATGAGTACATGTTTGGTTGTGCCTGGCCATTTTTCCATTATTGCTGGTAGTAGTTGTTGTACCAACATGTTTTTCATCACATCTCTTGCTGGTAGTAGTTGTTGTACCAACATATTTTGTGCCTGGCCAAAATATGCCTATTTTTTCATCCCATAACACTTCACCATCATCCCCAAATCTAGGACGACCTACAGCTTCCAAAAACATAATCTTGGGAATGTGTGTTTTGGATTGTGTGGCTCTGTATGGTTCTGCCTCGTCAGGCAACTTGTAAAATGTGGTTGTTTTCTTGCTAAAGTGAAACCACTTTTCATCTATATGCATGTAGTTATAAGAGTCATGAAATGTGGGATTGTTTGGCAGTGATGTGGGAGAAATAAGAGACAAACAATACCTGAGTCTCTTTAACTTCCCCTTTTCGCACAGAAGGGGTTTAATGGCATTTGAATGTCTTTTTATTTTATTTTCCTTGAGCCAATTGTGTGTTGTACTGGTCGAGACATTCATGCAATGGCTTATAGCACGTAAAGTCTTTTGTTGGTGAAATGGAATTTCACTGAGCTTTGAGAAGTCCACAACCTTACGTTTTTTTCCTACATTACCTTGCCATCTGCATTGAACATTTACAGCCTGGCCCCTTGCCAATTGACGTTTAGCAATTCTCCATAGCTCTTCAACCCAACGATGTGACATGTTAAACTGAGCTGCCACTGCCTTAATTGAGCCATGTTGAAGTTTTCCATTGTTTAACTTTTGTAGAATTGCATCAACAACCTTTTTCCTTCGTTCATCTCTTGCGTGTACACCGGAAATACTGTTTAAATGATGTGTTTCAGGGGTGCTGCAAGCAACACGAACATCGAGGAGCGGCGACAGGGGGTCAGCAGAGGAATCGACATCCGAAGCGGAATCAACGACCTGTGTGGGGAAGAAGTCGGCTGCCATTAATGGAAAAGAAGAAAAAAATATAGACTGACCACATTAAGTGCAGGAGTATTTTGGGTAGATGAAGTGTCTTTAATGTTAGAATATCATTGTGTATTTCTTGAAGATGTTTGGGGTGTACATGAAATTGTGTGGAGGGATTTTTAAATTTTTCCCAAACTTAAATTTTTTTTGTAATTCCCTCTATGTTTTGTGGACTAAACCGTGTGGTATTTGAGAAGTGAAACAAAACACTATTTGTAATCATTCCTAAAGTACTATTTCCATTAATTGAACCCTTCCCTTGTATCTTCCTCTTCTATACCCACGTGAGTGATATGAGGGTATAATGGGAAGGTCAAAGCCCAAAATATCAATCCTTATTTTTGCAAATAGTCAAAGTAGGAATACTTTTTCCAAATGGAGGGAGTATCTTTTATGAAGGAACATATCGCATATTTAATGTTGTTTTAATCCTCGAACTTTAGTACTTAGAATGTGCCAAAATACAAAATAGTTTTTGGTCAAAGTCCATAGAAAAGTGAAATAGATAAGCGGATTACAAAATCTTCTTTCATGCGTGGCGCATTGACGCTTCTAATATTATCTCTCTCCTGGAATATTTATTCAGTTTTGAATTTTTAAGTTAATTATTTTTATTTTTTGACTAATAAATAGATAAAATATATATTGTATATAAATTAGATAAGAAATGTTTTGAAAATATTTTATATAATAAATCTAATAGAATTATTTTTGTATCAATATTCAATACTAATTTTATTTAATCTGACATCAAAATTTACCAATTTTGACAAAAGATTCAAAATGGATAAATACTATGAAACGGAAAGAGTAATGTGTTTATCAAGGAAAATGGATGCGCCATTAAAGGAAAATGGGAAATTAAATACTAGCATGTTGTACATTAAAAGGAAAAAACTCCTTCATATAAAAAAGGATGAGCCTTGTTCTCAAGGTTCTCAAATGTGAATCATGGGCTTGTATATATGTGAATAATATCTTCTTTGCTAAACAGCTAAAGACTTATTTCTTTTATATTACAAATGCACTATGGTTCTGATACGGTATCGTATCGGGATAGGGAAGGATTTCGAGTACCTTCGAGCTCCAAGAACAAAAGAGGCGAGAAAGAGAGAGATTAGAGTTTAGTAGAAAGTATTTTCTTTATTCATTGGTTGATAATACTATGGTGGTTGATGCATTTATAGGCTCCAACTCTAGAAAATCTCAATAATAAATGGTAACTAAATAATTAAGAATCCTAATTATAAAAGGTAACTAAATAAACTAGGAAACTAATTAATCACCTAACAAATATATTATTCCCTAATAATAGTTAACTAATTGTAAATAATTCTTATCATAATAATAACAATAATAATAATAGTCTCGTAACACTCTACCCGCCTCGAAAACCAACTTGTCCTCAAGTTGGAAATCTGAAAAAAAAACGAAGAATCATGCGTTGTGAACGGACATCTTCCGGGGTCAAAAACCTTTATGAATGGAGTATCAAAACAATCAATCAAGCTCAAAGCATTTACAACTCCAAACAAACAACTCCACGGAACAAATACTAAGAAAATTCTGCTAGCACGAGTGACATCCCCAAAATCATAAAGGACAACAACGTCACTTTTTGATGTCCCAAATGTTTCCGTGCATCCATAAAAAATGACACCATCACTTGAATATTTTGCTTGGACTGTGTGAGGTCGTTGAGCGTCACCAGAAACATCAACAACAATATCAGCAACGGTAATAGGAACAACATCTATGGGATCAATAATAAGATCATCATCGGGAACACCAACAGGATCAATAAAAATTTCCTTTTCAAATTCATGGTCCTGTAAAGTTGTGTTCTGCACAGGTACTGTAGGGGCCGGATCTTGTTGAGTGCCGATGAGTTTCCTTATAGAGCGCATCATGGTTGTTTTGAAAATCTATATCTCTATATGAATCAGGCTCGGCATAATTAGGAGACCACGAACTAAATCCTGCATTGAACAAAAGGCCTCTACGGCGAACTCATATACCTCAGAATCATATTTTGGTTGACCTTCAATTGGACGGAATGCCTGGAGTTTTTTTATAATTTCATCCACGGAATCTTCAATTGCACACACGCCTTCATAAAATTCAACTTGTCCTCGTAGAACTTTCTCGAGTAAACCAAGAACTTTTTCTAATAGAAAATCCATTTCCAAAAAAACCACCACACAAAAATATCACTAAAAAAATAGTAATAATACCTCAAATCTTGTGTGAAGGCAATATATGGGTCTTTGTTTTTTTTTGGCCATTTTTTTGTATAATTTTTTTGAACGAGTTCAAGAATGAAAGCACCAATTGATACAGTATCATATCGGGATAGAGAAGGATTTAGAGCACCTTCGAGCTCCAAGAACAAAAGAGGCGAGAAAGAGAGAGATTAGAGTTTAGAAGAAAGTATTTTCTTTATTTATTGATTGATAATACTATGGTGGTGGATATATTTATAGGCTCCAACTCTAGAGAATCTTAATAATAAATGGTAACTAAATAATTAAGAATCCTAATTATAAAAGGTAACTAAATAAACTAGGAAACTAATTAATCACCTAACAAATATATTATAGGTTCGAGTTTTCAATTGAATGATTCTGTTTGGTCCTTGTGGCGTCATTGTTTGTTGTACATACATTTTCTTGCTAGGGTCCAAACAGAGTTTGTTGATCTTCAAGATCATCGATAATAATCTGCATAGATAATGTACTCACATCAATCGTTTAGTGGTTCACAGAGTATGGTTTCCAGAGATCAGTATCATAAAGCATCATTTGGTTTAATATAGAATCGTGAGTTAAGAAAAGTTATTCATGGTTTAATGTAAACAATGAAAATGATCAAGTGGAATGTTTCAAGTGTTTAAACAACAGATTAAACTTTGAGTATTTCAAGGATACGATTTCAACTTCCAAACGACTAATTTTTTTAATGTTATTCATCCATATCCAATCCCTAACTTCTATAAACTCCCTTGTCTCATTATTTTCATAAGGAGAACACCAAGAACAGTTTGAAGAACACATCTTTTGAATATTCAAAGAGATTCTACTCAATCCTCTTCTAATATCCAAGAAAGGCAATTGTTTTGATTGCTAAATCCTTTCTTGCTTGAGTTTATCCTCATTGCTTAAGTCTTTGAGAGATTTTGCCATATTCTACAGGACTTCATTGTGTTTGCAACAATCTACTATGTGTTGGGAGAATTATTCCATTGTGGTTTGTTTTCTTACTTTTTGCAAGGGACTTTTATTCTTGGTGTTGAGATAACACCAAGTGGTACAAATCTGATCCTAACGGTTTGTGAAATCAAACGTCAGGTGGAAGAAATCCCGAGTCTTGTGAAATCAAGGCTTCAGTGGTAGGATAAGAGGCTTGTGAAATCAAGTTCTCGAGTAGTATTCAGATTTCCAAACTTCGTTAAGTTTGACGGGTTAGTGAAGGCTCACGCACATTTTCTTCGGGGACTGGATGTAGGCATTTAGGCCGAACAAGTATATATCGTGTGTTCATTGCTTTTATCTTTCACTTAATTTTGTTTGTGGTGCGTTGGCTTTAATCGAGTATTTCTCAAGAACACTTTCGTGCGAAAAACTGGTCATTTAGTCAAAACCTTTATTCACCCCCTCCTCTAGAGGTGTGCAAGGCATCTAACAAGATGATCTTCGTTCTAGTACTTGCTACCTTATTATGCTTGGGTCGAATCTTACATCTTGGTGCGCGAAGAAACAAACTCGTGTCTCCCATTCCTCAATAGACGCTGAATATCGCGCCATGGCCGCGGGGGTAACAGAGGTCATGTGGCTTCGCTACATTACAGATGCACTTGGCATTCCTTCGTCAAAGCCAACAATTTACTGTGACAATGAATCTACCATCTGTGTCACAAAAATCCTATTCTGCATGATCGAACAAAGCATGTTGGGTCTGAGTGTCACTTTATGCATGTTGGGTCTGAGTGTCACTTTATGCGTGATGAAGTTATAGCTGGCACTCTGTCCGCTCATTATGTTCCATCTTCTGAATAACTCGCTGATGAATCTACTTCCGCCCACTCCGTTTGAATATCTATGTTCCAAGCTGTCTCTCGTCTCCACTGAAATAGATTGTTGTGTGTGTGTGCACGCGCGTGTGTGTATGTGTGTGTGTGGACATATCCTTCAATATTCTATAAGATCAATCATTCTCAAATTGTATCATATTTAGAATAATATTTTAAAAATTGTTTATAGGATAAATCTAATAAAATTTTTCTTGAAACATTATCTAATAGTCCATATAAATTTTATTTAATTAACGGTTAAAATTTATTAACTTTGATTGCAAAAAATTCTTTGGCACGAAGTTTTATTCAATAATGGCATTTAATTTATACTAATAATACACATTGCTATGCCAGCACTATGTCCATTCAACATATGGCTATGCATATCCATACAACCCATTTCCTATATACGTCTCTCTATATACTCCATCCGTCCCAAAAAGTCTTTCCTGTTTCATTTTTTGCGCATCCCATAAAACACTTCTACCGACATTTAAAATGCCTAAAATTTACAACATTTCTTTTTTATTGTGGGTAGAAGTTATTTTAAAAGTTTTTTTGGCATTCAAGGCGAGATATAAGTGTTTTATGGGATGCGCAAAAAATGAAACAGGAAAGATTTTTTGGGATGGAGGGAGTATTACACAAATAATAATAATAATAATAATAGTAATAATTATACATATGGTGAAACTAATCAACTCTATTAATAATGCAACATACACATAATTAAAGGCATTGACGATGGTCAAATTTCCCCATGCATATTATTAGTTGAGCTCTTAAGTGAAAAAAATTGAGTGATGCTGGGGACAGTGTATGGGCCATGCAACAAACCAGAGGCTATCACATTGTATGCGGCTTCAGTCAAATGCACCCCGTCCCAGCTAACATAACTTGAAGGGTCATCACAAACCGTTGACCCTTTCCCGCCACAATGGACTGAGGAGTCATAGTGATATGGCCCTTCTCCTCCACAACATGCACTCGTGGCACTTGTAAACCCTGTTCCAAGGGCCGCGCGTGTTTATTAAGTGGTTCATTAATTCAATTATGGGTCTGTTTGGGAATAGCTTTAGCGATTAGTTTAGCGTTTTGAAAAGGCTATCAACGGTCAGCGTTTAGCGTTAGCGTTTTCAAAGTAATCTGCACCGTTAAAATTTTATCCAAAACGCTAACGCTAATCTCTAACGCTATTCCCAAACAGGCCCTATATTCAAAGGGACAGAAAGAAGGTTACCGTATTTAGCGGGGGAACGGTAAATCCTCATTGCTGCGTTGAAATAATCGGCGTATATAATATTGACGTGGGGATGGAGCTGGCGGAGGCGGTCGAGTTCATCCTGAAGGAGCCGGTTATGGAACTCAGCGAAGTCGTTTAGCCAGTTGAGGCAACCTGTTTTGGGGTCGTAATCGTTCTTATTGGGACTTGAGTAAAGAGTGAGGTATGCAGATGAGCATCCAATGGGCAGATTCCCGGGTACGATCAAGGTTTGAGCACCAAGTTCAATCAATTCCTGCATCCAAACAGCATTAATATTTAAAAAAAAGTTAAATACAATTGATTATCTGATCCGACTTACAAACTTGGAAATTCACTGTATTTTTTAAGTTCTGATTTGATCGAGATTCTAACAGGAAAGTAAAAAGAGACTCACATTAATGGCTAAGCCGATGGCGTCAACAACATGAGGAACGTATGATGCGACCTCTTCCTTGGGATGGCCTTGAAAGAAGGGGTGATTGTAGTCATTTCCCCCTATTTCTCCCATTAGAATGAGGGCATTTTGAAGGTATTCCTTGCAACCTATTCATTAAAATTTGCACATTTATTTTCGTTATCAACTACTCCATACATCGTATACAAAATCAACTTATTGGGTGATTTCACTTTATTCCTGACTTGGAAGTACAAATTTTGGATGGGCAACAAACGGATGAATCACACCCAAAAAAGGGCAAATTCTTCCGTGATCGTCTGTGCTCATTTTATGTGTCTTATTATGACATAAAATGGTTTATTTTGCAATGGTAGCCTCATTCCGCTGGGCATATATTTATATAGCTTAATTGTTTGATATAGCTTTTTTTTTGTTCTTGCAAATATAGCTATATTTTTCAAAATAACTTGATTGTTTAAGACTTTAAGCAAACTTTACACGCTCAACTTATTTGGATGTTTTTGTTTATAGAAAAACGAGTATTTTTTTTAATCAAAATGAGATTTTTATTTCACCAAATTCAACTGTATTTGGGACAAAACTTCTAAAGTTTAGAGAATGAAAACTTTATGACACTATGACAGGGACGGATCGAGGAAATGGTCTGGTTGAAGGCACTTTTCATTAAACATTGCCTTCTTTAAATTAATGAAAATTTCACAATAATACTCCAATAAATTTTAAATTTTACAAAAATATTCCAAAAATTAATTAATTATATTATTACTCCCAAAATTATTCTCTTTTTTAAAAAATACTCCACTACCACCTTACTTGCATAATAAAATTATGTAATATTTAAATGGATTTTTAGAGTGATGATTGAAAAAAATTACTTTTTTATTTTCATAAAAAATAAATTACTTATTCCTCCATCAACTCAAATATCAATCACGTCTCTCACAATTAGGGCATATTATTTTCGGTTGGAATTCAAAAGTTAAATGTTAGAAGGAACGGTATGGATTCGCAAAAAATTGAAAAGAGTTAGATTAAGAACATGTTCTCCTCAACTTATTTTTTTTACTTTTTATTTATTCTTATTGCAATCAGATCAGATTAGACCAAGTCAGACCATATCAGAAATACATTTAAATATAACTACATTCAGATCAGATCAGATAAGAAGTTATTCCAATTATATCAGAACCAATCAGACCAGGTGAAGAGAACATGGCCTAAGTTGGAAGTTAATTTTTCCAACCCAAAATAATAAACTCTTAAAGTAGGATTTTATTATTTGAGTTGAGAGCAAAAAAGTAATTTGTTTTTTTTTGTATGAAAATTGAATAAGGTGATTTATTTTTCAAGTCATTGATTTAAAAATTAATGTATATATTCTTGTAAAATCATAAACTTTTTGAAGTATTGTGGTAAATTTTTCCTTAAATTAAATGGTGCAAGAATAGTATGGGGTCCGCGAGCAGCCCCGCCCCTAAAAGGACTGAAACTTTTTTATGGTAATTTTAAATGATAAAAAAGTATTCACTCCGTCTACTTTGGTTCTTTCCATTGGACTATTCACGTACAATATTTTGTTTATTAATATCTTTACTTTCATATACATACATGATACGAGTACATATAATAAAAATATAATATTTCAATATAAAAAAAACTATTGATCATATTAAGTGTATATCAAAATTACATGTCATATTTTATGTATATATTGTGGTCAATATTAATAGGTGTTGACCGAGAAAGTCTCATTGAGAAGAGCTAAAGTAGTAAAATGGATTTGCCAGAGTTATGAATTTATCTCAAACAAGCGTTCACATTACTAAAATGAAAAGGTCCAAAAACACAAAAGTAAAACATGATAGAATTTAGAATGAGAAATGGATAACTGGATTGGGTAATGAGACACTTGGACTGAACCACATTAAGAGATTGAATCCAATCGATTAGTTATTTCAACTCAAGAGCTTATATACTTATTATTTTACTCTTGGACTTCTGATGTGGGATACACTCTAACAAAACATAAGTTACAGACTACACATTTTAATTATTTCACTTTCAAATTCTGTTATTTTAAATTTTAAATATTTTAGTTTTAAATTCTTTGCTTTTAATTTTTGAACTTTACTTTTCTCAAAATTTTCTTATACTTAACAATTTCACTCTACAGTCCACATTGATATCATTTGAAACAAGACTAAAATACAAAATTAACCATTTCACCTAAAGTACAAAATAAAAAAATATTTTTGAGAGGGAGAAAGTAATTGAGACCTCAAAAATCAAAATAGAGAGAGTACACAAAGGTAAAATTTATTTACCATAAAGCCCAAAAGTGATAGGGTCTCCCCCATAATTAATTTAGGACTTGGGACCCCCCGACCCTAAAGTCTTATTTGGTGTTATTTCTTTTTGTACTACTTGAATTTCAACTACACAATTCAATTTAATTCTGTTGATAATTATTTCAAGCCAAATGCATAATTTTTTAATGGAACAATGTTTCCATTCAACATCAGCACTTTTAGTTTTTTTGTGATAAATCAATTTTCATTTAAAACATGAAAATTACACAATCAATTTTAATTAAAAACATGAAAATTACACACTAATGTTAAATAATTTTCCTAAAATATTAAAACTAACATTATATTTGGTTTGAGAAATATAGAAGGAAAATAAATTCTGTGCTTTTCCTCATCAAAATAAAAGATTAATTTTCCAAAGATTGCTTTATTTCTTGGAAAAATTGCCCAAAATAATCCCAACTTTACCCGGTCTTTCAAAAATAATCCCACCTTTCACTGTGATGCATAATAATCCCAACTTTACTGAAATTTGCCAGTTTTGGGTCGCCGTTAAGTTTCTAACGGAGGGATAACGGAAATGCTCGTTTTAGACAACAAAATGAAAGTTGGGATTATTTTTGATGAATTTTTGTTTTTTAAGTTTTTTTGAAATTTTCATTTAAATTTTTTAAACTACTTTCTACCTCCACCATCATTTCTTTTTCCTTTTTTAAAGATTAGTCTTAGTTTAAAAAAAAACAATAGTTTTAAAAAATAAAAAAATGAGAAATGTAACTAAAATGATACAAAAATAATAAATTAAATAAGGTAATCAATGGAAACTAACTTAAAATTGGAAAAAGTAAAATAAAAATATACGGGTGGGTTTAATATTTTAGGCATTATACAAAGCATTAACATATCACTTCTTATTTTTTTAGAAAAAATTATCTACAATAATTCCAACTTTACCGGACGGCTTGTTCTTTTAAAAAATAAGTAGTACATTAAGACTCCGTATAGTGTGTAAAATGTTAAACCCACGACTCCATATATATTTATTTTATTTCTTACCAGTTTCTGTTTAATTTCTATTGATTACATTATTTATTTGATTAATTTTGTATGATTTTAGTTATTTTTCTAATTTTCATTATTTTTTATATCTATTTTTTTTCTAAGGTAAGAATAATCTTTAAAAAAGAAAAAGAAATGGAGGTTGAAAGTAATTCAAAAAAATTAAATAAAAATTTAAAAAAAAATTAAAAAACAAAAATTCATCAAAAATAATCCCAACTTTCATTTTGTTGCCTAAAATGGGCATTTCCGTTATCCCTCCGTTAGAAACTTAACGGTGACCCAAAACTGGTAAATTTCAGTAAAGTTGGGATTATTATGCATCACAGTGAAAGGTGGGATTATTTTTGAAAGACCGAGTAAAGTTGGGATTATTTTGGGTAATTTTTCCTTATTTCTTTGCTTGTTGTGGGCTGATAAAAACGATTAAAGACCAGGTCAGCAATATATATTAATGTTAGATTTTAGATATTTTCAATGATGAGATTTTTTTTGTTCTCCTAACTACTCGTATTAGATTTCGATGTCTTTAGTGATGTGATCTTTAATTCTTGTTTGAGGTTAGCATTATTTAGCGACAAATGAATCAATAGTATTATTATTTTTATACCAAGTAGTACAATTAATTAATATATTTGCCCAACAAGTTAATTTAATATAGAGTACAAACTACGGGGCTGTCTGGGATTATGTTTAGCGATTAGCGTTAGCGTTTTAAAAGGGCTATCTACGGGCAGCGTTTAGCGTTAGCGCTTTCGAAAAAATCTGAACCGTTAAAATTTTATCCAAAACACTAACGCTAAAAATTAAAACGGTTAAGATTCTTTTAACCTTTTTAATTTTTTTATTTTCATGTTCCTTTTTTGTAATTTTAAGTTTATTTATTAGGAAATAATTACGTAAAGTGAGTTCCAAACTTACTTGAAGGAGAGTTGCATAGAGAAGGAAGCAATTGCTTGAACCATTCCAACTGAGTTCCAATGGAAACATTCGTGCTGGGGTTGATCACCCCCCTCTCCCTAAAATACGATATGTCCAGCGCGGTGGCTCCGGCCACCGCGAAGTTCACGCCGCCGCTTCGGCTCTTTCCCCCAGCGTACGGCGGCAGGAGCTGGAACCCCATGCTCTGCGCTATGAAGTCGACGACGAGGCGGCCGTCGGAGAAGCGGCCGGTGGGGTGGTGGAAGTATGTCTCCCCGTAGGGAAGGACGGCGGAGGCGACGAACCCGTTGCCCTCTGAAAGACAGATCAAATTTCCGGTGTCGGCCAGCGAGTCCCCGAAACTGATGATCGCCCGGTACTCCTGCCCGAATACCGGGCGGCCACTGGAGGCTAATAATAATAACAATGATAACAGAATAATATGAATTAACACAAAAGGTTTAGAAGATGGATCCATGGGTAAATCTGTAATTGGAATTTCTTCTTGCTTTTCTTAACACTATGGTTCTAAATGATTAATGAAGTACAAATATTCTGTAAATGTTTGCAAGAGGCTCTCTGCTTGGAAAGTCCCCTAAAAAATGTGTTGTTCTGGGCACACTTTTATAAGCCGTCCGAGTTCACCTACCAACCCAAACGAGGACCAAGTCGTCATTTTACTTAGGCCATATCCTCTTATTACATGAAAAAGACTTCTAGTCCAATAGTACTCTACCCATATCCTAAAACACATACATGTGCTAAGTTTGACTGACCCAATTACACATTCAAAATGTATAGGCCGGCCAAGGGGAGAGCCAAGAAACCCTGTCAAAATTCTTTCATTACTTTGAACTCAAAGAAAGAAAAAAAATTCAGCTATGCTCAAAAAATATCTTTGCGATGCAATTGAATTTTGGAGATTTTACTTAAATTGTACTAAAACATAATAACTTTCTCCAAATAGCATCACATGTATTTTTTTCCCGATGTAGAACTTTTAGTCATTATCTATTAGTCATTATTCAAATAAATGTTCGCCATCACTCGACGTTATTAAGTGTTATTTACTCCGTAGAAAATAATACAGTTTAAGTGTTATTTAGAGAAATGACTTAAGTTTCAGTGTTATTTATTTGAAAAATGCTAGGGGTACACCAAAGGTGTACCCCATATGTACCCCACCCCCTCCTTGTCCACTAAAAAAGGCAAAAAAATTTAAAAAAAATAAGTAAATAAAAATCAAATAAAAATGTGTGGTGGAGAATGGGGTGATGTACATTTGGGGTACACCTTTTGGTGTACCCCTAGCATTGCTCTATTTATTTAGTGCAAATATTTCTTAAATTTTTTCTACAATGATCGAAGTGCTCAAATGGCTTTTATTATTGATAGCTTTTTAAAGTAAATGCTCTCCTTGATCTATTTTGTGACTTTCACTAGTGCAAAAAGTATATCGGGTAAAAGCTACATGGAGGCATAATTAACTTAATATGACAATGAACTATCTGAAGAGGATTTGTTGTTGATCTTACTTGTAAATGTTCATTCCAATTGCTGAGGATGTTGCTAAAGCCTACAAATCGGATTCTACATGCCATGAATATTTTACACCAAAAAAAATCTTAGGTAGGGTGAACAATGCAGAGTAGAAATTAAAGTTCTAAGAGGTGTAGACTTAATTTGTTAGCAAGGCGATAACTTTTTCTTTTCTCCACCAAGATGTGATATTATTGTTGTTGTCAAGTCTAAGTACCTGATTTTAAATGGGATGGCTCACCACGAGTTTGGTCTTCTCTTACATATCTACCGCTACACTGCCATTGACATGCTTCTTGAAAAATGGTCTTCATGTAAATTTCTTCTTTGGTTCAACATTTTGTCATATGTCTAAGCCTCCACCTTAAGGAAAAAGTGATTTTTAGGGGTGGGAATGATGCAAATTGTGGATTACATTATTTAATTATTTATATATGAATCACTAGTTATTTAATTTATTAGTTAGTACTCCATATTATATTTTGATAAGGGTTAGGAGTCTTTTTTTAGAACTAGAATGTTTTTTTCTAAGTACTACTCCCTCCATCCTATAATGATCTTCTCGGTTCGCAAAACGAAGAAAAATCCCAAGTTTTTTCAATCTATTTTATTTAAATATTGGTATAGAAACAAAAAATAAAACATACATATTTAAAAACTACATCAAAAGTTTAGCAAAACAAGTGGTGACAAGAATATTTTATTTTATCATATAGGCCATGAAAAAGCACAAATAAATATAAATTCCCGTGAAGTTGGAATAGTGCTCTGGGAAGATCATTATAGGACGGAGGGAGTATATATTGATGAGATGTAACTTGTTATTTTTTAAGGGTAACAAAATTTATATTAGAATCAGAGAACGGAACAACTAGGTAGGGAGGAAATCCACACCAGGGTTACATCAATTGCATTTCAAGTAAGGGCATGAGTCCCCATTAGGGCTGTTCATCGGTCCAGAACCGGACCGGACCGAAGACCAAAATAAGAATAAAGTAAGACCGAAGACCGGACCTATTAATAATTGGTTTTAGGCCGAACCGGACTGAAATATCTTGGACCGAACTGATCAAGACCGAAAAGACCAAACTAACAGTGCAAAGAAGAAAAAAGTTAGAGCAGAAACGTAGGGGGGAAGAAGAATACATTGGAAGAGATGTTTTGCAGCTTCATAAAAAATAGGAATCAAATGAGCACCACAAAACAAATGGACTATATTACATTCACACGGATGCTAAGAGCTAAAACTTCAATACTAATTGAAATTCTCACAAATACGGAGCATCAAATATCCAGCAAGAACAAATTAAGGAAGAATCTGAATATTAATTAAGACTTGACGATTACCAAATAAAGACCATTACACAAAAGATTTTTGTGTTTTGGCACTGAAAAATACTTCCAAAAACGAGATTCGAGGGCTAGGGTTCAAGATTTAGTGTCGGCACCACCTCCATCATCCTCGAAGTCTCCTTTCTCTCGCTCCTTAGGCCTGTTTGCATCACATAAGAGCTCTTCCCCTTCCGATTTGATTCTCTCGCGTTGAAGAAGAACGAGAAGAGGACAATGAATGGATAACAAATGAATGTCTGAGGTGAGGCCTGAGGGTGAGTTTGCAACTTGGATAGATAATTGATACGGAGTACGGAGTAACTGACATAAGTAGTCGGTCCATTCGGTCCAGACCAAAATAATATCGGGTTTGGACCGGACCGGACCGAAACCAGAAAACTCAAATAATTAAGACCAAAGACCGACCCTAAATATATTCGGTCCGGGTTCGGCCGGACCTAACAATCTGGTTCGGTCGGGTTTTTCGGTCTGGACCTAAACATGAACAGCCCTAGTCCTCATATTCGATGACCAACAAATAAAACTAACAAAAAATAAGTAGTACCAAAGAAAAGCCTAATAAAATGACAATAATCAATAATCACACCCACATACGAGCAACAATCAAAACGCTGTCAAAGCCGCAATACGGGCTTGTTTGGGAACATCGTTAGAGATTAGCGTTACAGTTTTAGATAAAATTTTAACGGTGCAGATTACTTTGAAAATGCTAACGCTAAACGCTGCCCGTCGATAGCTTTTTCAAAACGCTAACGCTAATCGCTAAAGCTATTCCCAAACAAACCCTACATCAACAACTGTTTGACATTAATTCTTTAATGGTATCAGAGAATAAACCCTAGAAAATTTCCGCAACTACTGTTCTTGATCGACCGGCATCGCTTCCATCGATCATCACCCGCTGCTGCCAGACGTCGGAACGGTCGACCGTTGCTGAAGAACGGTCGAGTGCATCGACCGTCCTGACGTTAGTTTCTCTGATCGCTGCTGCAGTTTCGCTCTGTTGTTGACCTGTGCCATTCGGTATGGCCGAAGAAGTAAGCATGAAGATTATTTCCAACAAAAAGAATGAGGAACGGGAGGAAGAGGAAGTTGGAGTGCGCCGTCGATGCATCTCCCCATATGATTTGTCCCCGAGCGACAATCCAGATATGATTTTGACCCATGTCATTTTGAAGGGGGATAATTACGATGAATGGTCCAAATCTCTGTGTTTGGCTCTTCGTGAGCGCAAGAAGTTTGAATTTGTTAATGGAACAATTGGGATGCTTGATCCTGATTCGGATGATTTTGATCCAACCTTGAGATCCAGCATATCATTTGTGGAAAATGCTTCAGATCTGTGGAGTGATTTGAAGGCTTGTTTCTCTGTGGTTAATGGACCAAGGGTTCAGCAGTTGAAGCGGGACATGGCAGAATGCAAACAGAAGAATCATTCCATAATGGAATATTATGGGAAGATGAAAAAGCTGTGGGATGATCTAGCAGATTTAGAGCAATTCCCAATCTGTACGTGTAGGAATTGCACGTGCAACTTCCCAGAAAAGCTTGCGCAGATGCACGAGAGGGAATGTTCCCATCAATTTTTGATGGGATTGAATGATGTTTTGTATGGAACTTTGCAGTCAAATTTGCTAGCCCAGGAAATCATACCACATGTGGCAAGAATATACAATATTCTTGTCCAAGATGAAACAGCACGGAATGGCTTGCACAAAGGAGAAAGCAGTGAAGCAGGTGCATCCATGTTTGCCGTAAAGAACAAGATGGAGGTCAAGGAGCTTGTGTGCTCTCACTGTGGGAAAACAGGGCATGAGGTTGAGGCGTGCTACAAGCTGATTGGGTACCCAGAGAGATGGGTGTTCCGTGATCAGGCCGGAAGAGGAAGAGGAAACGGCTGGGGAAGGGGCCATGGGATTGCACAAGGCGGCGGACAGTCGACCGTAGCGATTGGACACGCGACCGTTACGGGCGGACGAGGTGAAGTTCATGCTGTCCAAGGAGAAGAAAAAGGACCATCTCTGCCGCCAAATTTTGAGGATTTGACGCCTGAACAGTGGAATTCTATTCGCCATGCCCTTTCGCTCTCCCCTATAGACAACTCACCAAAACTCTCAGCTATATCCGTATCACCTCGTTAGATAATTATTACTGGTGCGTCCAATCATATGATAGGTGATCTTTCGTTATTATATGATGTGGTGGGTGTTTCTCAATGTGAAATTGGATTACCTGATAGAGAAAGGGTTGTGCCTGTTCAATCTGAAAAGGTTGATTTGACTATGACTATGACATTGCAGAATGTGTTGTTTGTTCCAACCTTAAATTGCCATTTAATTTACGTGTCACAGTTGCCAAGAGATATGAACTGTGAGGCAAAGTTCACCAATGATTTATGCATCTTACAGGACCTAAGTTTGAGGACAACAATTGGTGTGGGTAGACATGAAGAAGGATTATACTATTTAAAGAAGGAGGAGAGGAGCATGGTGTGCAGTGCTGCTAAGAAGAATTCGTTTGATCTTTGGGACAAACGTCTAGGACATCCTTCTTCGCATGTTTTTTCCTTAGTTCCTGTAGTTGGTTCGAATAAAAGTAGTCATTGTGATGTCTATTTGCGTGCTAAACAAACTCGTTCTAGTTTTCCTATCAATTTTCATCGATCTATGGATAAATTTGATATGGTGCATTGTGAATTATGGGTCCTTATCAGACGCCAAGTTTGGATGGTTCTACAATGTTTTTGACTGTTGTGGATGATTTTTCATGTGGTGTGTAGGTATATTTGTTTGATTCTAAGCGGACTGTAGGAAATGTTTTTAAGCAGTTTTGTGCCATGGTTGAATGTCAGTTTAGGAAGAGAATAAAGTGTGTTAGAAGTGACAATGACACAGAATTTGAATGTTTGAATGAATATTTCCTGGAAAAATGAATTGTTCGTGAGACATCTTGTGTGTCTACACCGCAGCAGAATGGAAGAGTGGAACGCAAACAGCGGGAGAGTGCATACAAACAGCAGCATATTTAATCAACCGAACACCCTCGTCTCTTTTAGGGGGGTTACACCGCATGAGAAACTCTATGGAAGGGCTCGCAGATGTTACGTTCACAACCTGAAGAGAGATGGATATAAATTTGCACCCAGAAGTATTCCAGGAATATTTTTGGGTTACCCACAAGGAAAGAAGGGATGACACGTATATTTCCCGGACACTGGGAAGATAAGCGTATCATGGGATGTTGTGTTTTGTGAAAACATATTTCCTTATTTGATTTCCACAGGTGAAACATCAGATGAAGATGGATCGAATAACTCCTCTCTGATTGATCACTTCAACGACGATGACGAAATGCTTGCGGAAGAGCAGCTGGACCATTCCATGAGGAATGGTCGACCGGAGGAGAACAACAATGCAGACGGGATACAGGCGGTCGACCTGGTGGACCGTCTCGATGTCCACAGTCGACCGTCCGAGAGGCAAAAAGACGGACTCCTGGGAGATCAACCAACGGTCGACGCGGTGGACCGTTCTGTATTTTAAAGGCAAAAATACAATATTCTCTTTTTCTTCTACTCTGTATTTATTTCATCTTTCTATTCTTCATATTTTTAAAGTCCCCAAAAAATTAATTTACTTTAAAAAAAAGTTAAAATATTTAATTTGAGATAGAGTGAGTATGTGTTATCTAATTTTTGTATTTATTTTACTTTCACTTATAATAAAAAAGTGTATTTTATTTCATTCTAAAATTTTTCATTTTCTTAAAAAATTATTATGTTTTGAAAAATAAATAAATGAAAATATTAATTTGAGATAGAAAGCGTATATTTTATTTTATTTATTTGTATAATAAAGGGAAAATGTAAATAAAAGATTGAAACTTGAAAATAGAGGAAAAGAAAGAGCATAAATGTCATTTTAACTCTAAAAATAGATACGATGAGGCATTTGTGTATTATTTAAAAATCACGTGACTTTTATAAAAAACTTTTTAAAATAGAAAGAATTTTGATGTCTCTTTTGTAAATCACAGGGAACACCCGTGCTCTTAGCCCCTTTTGTAAGAGACAAGAATAACTTATTTATTTAAAGGAAAAATTATCTCAAATAATCTCACCTTTTAATGCTCTTTCAAAAATAATCCTACTTTTCACTCTCACCAGAAATAATACCACCTTCCCGCATATGTGCGAGTTTTGGGTCGCCGTTAAAAAACTAACGGTCACTTAACGGAAATTTTGAAAAATGTCGGTTTTTCGCAAATAAATGAAAGGTGAGATTATTTTAGGTAAATTCTCCCTTTTCGTTTTTTAATTCCTTTAAATGTATTTTTATTTTATTTTTTTGGAAAAAATACCAAATATAAGTGTTTTTAGAGTGAAACTAATTGTTTTTTTTTCAATAACCAATAATATGGTAATAATTAAAAAATAAATTATTCTACACAATAGAGCTAATTTATTAACTTCATAACTAATTACTGCCTCCGTTTGGAAAAAGTGTTCCTCTTTTGACTTTGTGTAAAAATAAGGAAGTATTAAATTGTAGTTGACTTCCAATTTTGCCCTTGATGTGATAGTTAAAAGTAAGATGTGATGGATAGATTATTAGAGATAAAGTATGATGTGATAGGTAGGGTATGAAAAAGTAAGGGTAAAAGTGGTTTTTTAATAGAAAGTGGAAGTGTTTTGTTGGAAGGAAAAAAAAAAGAGGAAGTGTTTTTGATAACGGAGAGAGTACATTTTTTTGTAAGTTGCATTTACTGTATTTTTCTTAAGCTGCACTTCAAATTATTTTTTGATACTACATTATTATTATTTCTTAAAAAAATGGCACTACAAAACTTATGAATATTTTTCGATAGTTCTATATAAATATTTTTTGTGAAACAACATTACAATAGTTGTGAAAATAACACAACAATTTTTTTCTCTAAAATAGAACTTTTATTTTTATAACTCACTACATTTTCTGATGTATTGCAATTTTTCCATGAACACTCTGAAATATTTATTGATAATCTTATATTGCAATAAAATTTTCTTTCTAAAATGGAACTACCCAATTTGTGATTTTTTTAATAATTCAATACAAATTTTTCCCCAAGATAGTAATTCAAAAGTTGTGAAAATGACACAATATTTTTTTCTCTGAAACGGAACCCATAAATTTTATAAATCACTACAATTTTTTTATTGTAATTTATTTCTTGATCGATACTCTGAATTATTTTTGATAATTCAATACTATATTTTCCCAAAACAGTTAACAAAATTTGTTAATCGTTAGACAAATCTCTAACAAGAGTGTATTGTTATATTTTTAAAAATATTAATTTTAAATTCAAAACTAAAAAAGTAAAAAGTAAATTTTTCTAAAATAATCCCACCTTTCATTTATTTGCAAAAAACAGGCATTTTCAAAAACTTCCGTTAAGTGGCCGTTAGTTTTTTAACGGTGACCCAAAACTCGCACACATGCGAAAAGGTGATATTATTTCTGGTGACAGTGAAAAGTGGGATTATTTTTGAAAGAGCGCGAAAATGTGGGATTATTTGAGATAATTTTTCCTTATTTAAAAGAAAGGAAAATACAACGTAATTTATTTCTAAACAACAAAAATTATTTCTCAAATGTGCTTGAACTTTTTTAATGGAAGGAGCCAGAGAAAGGCCATATGAAGGAATGCACCGGGCTAGTACGCACCACTTGGGATCCAATAACTAACCTTACCACTCACTACGTCCGATTGGTCCGATGTCACATTCGGTGTGCCCGCACTTGCTTGTGCGACCGAAAACTGACTTTAAACAAAAATTAGTTTTGTTCAAACCAACTAACTTTCATATCCTAAACACACATCCAAGTGTCTTTACAATTTGAGGTAATTAGTCCGAGGTGGCATCCACTATATTGTTGTTAGTGATTGTCAAAGATTATGCATTTACGACTTTTCCTTGCTTCTTACTCTTTCTTTTTTTTTGAGAAAATTACACGTTCATGTGACCCGAGTCTTGTTGAAATAACTTGCAGTTTCCTCTGTTTTAAAAAATGTATCATGAGTCCTTATAGTCAACTATTCAGTTTAACGACCATTAAAAAAAGAGAAATTTATCTAAATAGGATTAAAACATAATGACTTTTCCAATATAGAACCATATGTTTTTATTTCCTAATGTAGACCTTTGGTCATTAGTCATTATTCAAGTAAATATCTATAATTACTGAACATTATTCTTCTCACTAGGTCATTATTAAGTCCTATTTGGGGAATAAAAAAGTATAAGTCTTACATTGGGAAAGTAATGTTTTAGTCCTATTTAGTGCAAATTTCACAAAAAAATATATTTTTTCTCATTTGTCTATACTGTAGTCATTTAAAGTGACTTTATTTTTTATATTGGATACACAATTCTGAATTTTTGAAAAATAGTTACATTCAAAATTGAGAAAAGTTAATAAAAAAAGGAAGCAAAGTGAAAAAAAATAAAAAGTGAAGCCCCTGAGCTTTATTAACACAAAACCATTAAGGATAAAATGGAAAAATATATACTCCGTATTTTTTAACGTCATTAACAGAATAAGAAATGAAATGTCCCATCCAAATCTTTACAATAAAATGTAAGGATCTCTGATGTCGTTTTGGTATTCGCTTTGGACCTCTAAATTATTTCAACAGAACTCGCGTAATTTGATAGTAACTTTTTTTCTTTTTTTCTTATATTTGTTTTTTGCATACTATATTTGATTCAAGGAATTTAAAATGAAAAATGAAAAAAAGATGGAAAATAGTGTTGTCTCAGACACTTTATACCATACTACCTTAGCTTCGTACCCGAGTATTTGTTTACTTTAAAATTTTTTCGATCGAAATTGGTAAAATTTGACCTCGAATTAAATAAAAAAGATGAGTATTACGTATTGATACGGAGTATATTTTATTTAATTATAGATCAAAGGTTGAAATTGATTAAATAAAAAAAATAAAAACTGGAAAAATAGTCAAGAAGAGTGGTAGTATATGTTGTGTTTCAAGACACCAGTGGCGTGTCTAACATTTTAGAGGTCCAAAGCGAATATAAAATATTTTTTTAAAAAAATAAAAACATATTTTGATACAAATCAAAGTTTGATTCAAGAAAAGATAAATACCCTTAAACTAATAATTTAAAAATATAAAATTAATCATGCTAATGAGTCTAGCGGATAAAATAAGTAAAAAATTGAAGGATACAAGAACTTTTATCAATAATCCGTATCTAATGATGCGGTGATTTATTCTGGTAAAAACTGAAAATATTATTTACAAAAAAAATTTGATCGCGAAGAGGTACACCAAATTTGTATTGAACTAACACGTACAAGTAATAATTGTTTATGCACCGCACAAAAAATTATTATCTATGTGTGCTTGCATGTAATATATTTGATGTGCAAGTTGGTTACGAACTTGATGTACCACTAACTTTTTTCTCTGATGAGAGTGGACGACAAAAAACTAAAAAAATCTACTTGCGCACCACTTATTGTACATTAAGTGGTACACCAATTGTTTGTGCCGGCATTCTGATACCATAAAATGTTAGTGTGATCGCAACATTCACACTCATATTGTCCACTTTGAATTATGAATGTGTATAAATTTTCAGTGTACGGAGTTTAACTTAATATTTCCTTGCGTTCTTTTAAACCCTTCCCATTTTGATTTTGGGTCAAAATAAGGAAAGTGTAATTTTGGTTGATTTTTCAATATTACCTCTGATATGATGGGTAAAAGTAAGATGTGATAGTTTGGTTATTAGTGAAAAAGTATGATGTGAAAAGTAGTGTAAAGATAAAGTAATTTTTTAATAGAAAATAAAAGCATTATCGGAAATTGGAAAAGACGAAAGGGAAAACATTTTATGAAAAGAGGGAGAACAAAATAAAGTATACGTAGCATCCTAAAGCAATTATCCGATTGGAATAGTGAGTAGGGGTGGACACGGTACAGTTCCGGGACGGTTCCGGTTCCGGAACCGCCGCTTCCGGTACCGCCACCCCTTGGTACCGGTACCGGATCGGCCGGTACCGGTTCCGGTTCCGATACCGTTTCGGCCACCCATAATTTCTTTTTTTTTTTTGCTTTTTAATTAAATTTTTAAAGTGTAGAATTGTAAATGTGTAATTGTTAAAAGAAAGGATGAAATAAAAAACTCTAAAAATGAAATTAATAAAGGAAAGAATGAAATAAAAAATAAAAAAAAATAAAAAATTACGGTACCGGAACCGGAACCGGTACCGCCGGTGCCGGTGCCGAAAAATGGGCACCGGAACCGGTACCGGAGTGGGCGGTACCGGTACCGGTTCCCGGAACCGGTGGACCGTCCCGGCCGACGGTAACGGTACCGGTACCGGCGGTACCGTTTCCGGTCACGGTACCGTACCGGCGGTACTGTTTCCGATCACGGTACCGTACCGGTACCGTGTCCACCCATAATGGTGAGGTAGCGGACATCCCTTTCTCACCCGAACACGTGTCTCTCAACGTTAGCATCATCAGAGTAAGTAAGGATCCCAACCAACCACATACTGTTGAGCCACTATGTGAAACTGATTTAGGTTAATTATGGGGTGTGGGATTGGCGAGGCCCATGTGGCACGCGGTCAGGATGAGGAACATCGCCCGCCACCCCACACCCCTGCAAGATCAGGACTCGGTGTTGCAGGCGTCGTTTTCATATGGTCGTCTATTGTT